AGGAGGAGGAGGAGGAGGAGGAGGAGGAGGAGAAAGAAAAGGAGGAGAAGGAGAAGGAAAAGGAGACGGAGGAAGAGGGGAGGCAGGAGGAGGGGAGGAGGAGAAGAAGAAGAAGGAAGAGGAGGATGAGGATGAGGAAGAGGGGGGAGACAGGAGGAAGAAAACAACAACAACAACAACAACAACAACAACAACAACAACAACAATGGGATCAGTAGTCCTGTACCGTGGCGGGTTGACCACTACTGTCGTGTTTGTAGAATTGTCGAACATTGCTTTAGGCCAGGGTCTGGTGATGGCGCCGATCGCTGTCCACATGCAGATGACCAGACTGGACAACAGCGCACAGCCAGCTCCCTAAAAAAAGGAAAATAAGGGAAAGACTTTACACAACGTTAAGGAGATGTTTGCAGTTTGTTAGGTATTTTTGGGGGTCAAATTTTATAGATGTAAGGCGCGAAGAGCATTCTGTAGAGCGTGGATATGCGAAGTATACAAATTCAGTTATTATTTTAACTATTACCAGCAACGTCCTACTAGACACAGACTTTTAGTAGATCACGTCGAAACCGGGTTGTTTGGTCCAGAGGTGAGAAAATGAACATCACACACGCAAAAGCAAACCAACAAACAAACAAACTAAAGCATACATAGTATTTGTATGAAACCTCTCGTCCTATCTAAACTACTGACCCACGAATTGATCCAAGGACAAAGAAGTCCTAACAGGATGATTCCTAAGAGTGGTCCTCCCATCATTCCGAAGATGCTGACGACGATAATCAACAGAGTGGAGCTCAACAGCCCGGACAGATAAGCGGCTCCGATGGTCAGCATACCAAAGACCAAGGCTGTGGGGAGAAGGGAAAAATATTAGTTTATGATTTTAAACCCCTACTAACTATCTGAATCTTAAAATGAGTAAAGCGCATAGAGCTTGCTGTCGAGCGGGATATGCGCTATACAAATGCTATTTATTATCACCATTGAATGGTGTCATTACTTTACACTAGCGTGTGAGAGGTAGAGACTAAGTTCATCGTCATTTGATGGCAAAGACAGGGTTACCTTTCCAGAATGGGGAAATGGTTATTAATTTTCAAATCGAATATCTCCATTTATTGTCTGTTGGGAAGTTGTAAACATCTCTGCCGAAGTATGCCTTAAACAGACAAGGTCGTTCTGGTTGAGCACAGATATCTCCCAAAACTATAACGATAATATTGTTAAATTGATATAGGCATCTACCAGTAACCACAACAATCTTAGATTATAAAATTAACAATAGTAAAAACGAATTACCTAGAGTAATGGCAATAATGTATTTACCTGTAACAAAAACAATTATGAATTTACCTTTAACAATGTTAATAATAATTGATTTACTAGGAGCAATAGCAAGCATGGATTTACCTGTAACAACAACAGTAATGGACTTTGCTCGTCCTTCAAGAGCAATACCGCGCGTGCGTAAATAGATTGGCTTGATGAAATCCTCCACCGCCACTGTAGCCAGAGCATTCACCCCGGACGACACGGTGCTGGGGAGTGGAACAACAAAAATGGTGAAAAGGTATAGGTTTAACGCCCCTATCAACACTGTTAGGTTACTTAAGAGGGGGAACCTCCGAGTGTAACGCCCATCTCAGAAAGGACAGAACCAAGTGGGACATTCGTATTAAATGCCTTTCCCAAGGACACAACGTCGGAATCGAACCCCTGAACCCGCGATCTCACAATTACGAATCCGGAAGCCTAACCACTAGGCCTCCGACGCCACTGGAGAGTGGAAAAGAGCAACCTCAGGTTTGTTATACACGTTTTAATAAGTGTTTTACAACATTTGCAACATGATATGTTCATATAAGTACCGAAGGTTAGAGGTGTAAATGTTACAAGATTGTCACAAGCGAAAAAAAAAGAAGGAGGAGAGATAAGTACAATAAATCTTTGATAGGAAAGGAGAAGCAGGCCACACCAGAGCACCCGCCAACTACACACTCGTTTTACAATTCATTTTGAAAAGAAAAGTTCTTAAATATCTTTGTCCTTGAAACATTGCATGGAATCCTCGCCCTAAGAACCCATCAGCTCTTACATTTCATTGCATGTATAATATAATACAACGTAAAAGATGATGCACTTGGGGGGGGGGGGTGTTGTGACTTAGTGCTGAAACAATATTGTTGTGTGTAAGCATGGATGCACCTGGACTTCGTTTAACAACTACGAATGTAAAATACCAAAACAAATTTGCCCCAGCGAGATGAATAAAGATTGTCATTTCAATTGTCATTATGAGTGGCACCCTGACGAAATCAGGCTATCGGCAAAATGATGAAATCGAACAAACCGACCTTTTTTCAGCCAAAATTGGCTTTTTTTCTTTTTCTTTTCCTTTTTTACCCGGGGAGGGGGGGGGTAAGGCTCCACACAGTTTATCTCCATTTAAAACACATCTCTGCGTGAATTTTAATTAAATATATTTTATTATATTGAGAGAGCAATACAGAATGCTTGAGGTGGTGAGAAATAACAGTGATGATGATGATGATGATGATGATGATGATGATGATGATGATGATGATGATG